GATGTCAATATTATAAATTGCAACATTGTAGATATAACTATCTTTCATTGACAGAAAAAAATAACGTTAATAACTTCTGTTGTTCATATTTGCAATGGAAGAACTATTTATAAGCTTCGATTGAATCAAAAATACATTATTGTCATCCTGTACAATAATGAAATTCTTATATGAAACTGTATATTGGATTGTATATATAAAGAAGTTTTTCTTCTCTTTATTTTAGTCTAATTTGATCATAAAGGTGTAAGTAACATATAAATTTATCATAATAACACAATGTAACAGCAAAATATTTTTTTTAAATATGCAGCTCATACTTCAAATACTTTAAATTATTTAGACCCCCCTTCTAGAAAACGCCGACCCCCGTCGAAAACATGGACCTGTGTAAAAGTATGAAAAGTAATATACGTATATGAAACATAATAAGTGAAAAGTCAACACTAACACCCCCCACCCCCTGATATAACGATTTGGGCAAGTTTGGGTTTTTGTTTTGTTTGGGGGGGTCTTTTTTTTTTGGAAGTTTTTTTTTTTCTAAGTTGGATTGTTTGGCCATATAAGTAGGTCAAAATATTGTCGATTTGAAAAGTTTCTGTAATCTGATAATGACATATGGACACAATATACCATGTAAAAGAAAATTCAAAATAGAAGAAATCAATCAGTAACATATTCTGGCTGCAGAGGGGAAAATTACCAGAGATTTTTTGGAGTGGCGAAAATACAAATCTTTTTTGGCATATCGAGCATATAACTTTTATCATTTCGCATATACATGTACACGTAATTATATTACACTAAGTTCAATGAAATATAAGTAATGATTTTCAGTTATTGGACTCATGGTGATATCAAGACCCCTTCCTTGAATATGTGTGCAAACAGTTCTTGGAATTGAGTGCATTATTACAGCATAATGTTCTTATTATCAGTCACTTATCAAAAACGTCAATATGAAGTGTGTAGGCCTAGTTTATCTTTGTCCACATTTTTAAACTTGTAAAAAAAAAATACATGCCTTCTCCTGTCCTTCTCTCGGAAAAATGAGTTGGTAACATGGACAGGACCATCCCCCTCCCAAATTCAACGCCCGGCAAAAAATACCCCAACGATTATTTTGGGTTTTAACGATTTTCCCTATAACACACATTATGAATGAGTATTATAAATATAATATATAATTTGTGAAAAAATGTCAAATAAGCCCCAGGGTTGAATATGGGTGGGGGGGCCATGTCCACAAGTACCTGTGGTTCGTAGGGGCAACATCTTGACGGTTACACTACCAAATAATGAAAGTCTTCGGAACCAGGTAGTCAAAGATGGTATCTAAGTCTCAAAATACAAATTTAAACCCAAGATCTAGAGGAGTATAAAAAGAGAACAAAATGTGTGATCTTGATAACCGACTTATTGAGTAATGGCTTCAGAATTTAGCAAAGCCGAGTAAATTCAATACACACATGAGCGGCAATAAGTGAAAACATTTTTGAGCCACACTGTAAAAAAATAACTAGTTAATGTCACGAAGTAAACTAGTAGATTCACTGTCCATACAATCACTACCTTAATAGTAGTTTTACCAGATATTGGTATATTTACTAGATACGATAAGTAAATTTTAGAATTGATGAGTAACTTTCACTAGGTATCTAAGTTTCTATACGACCCCCGCTCCACAACTCACTATCTTAACCAGTAAAATGAAAGTTTACTAATCACGACCAACGCTTTACGAAACACACTAGTTAAATTCACTAGGCACTCTCAATCGGGTTATATCAGACTATTTATTTAATAAGAATTTAGATAGGTCGTTTATATATCAATATCTTTTATACTGACAAGATGTTTTACTCTTTATATTTTCGGTCTTCAAGCCACATGTACTTGTTTCGGTAATATATTTTTAACCCATTGTATGATATGTTTTATTATTATACTATGGGTTAAAAATTCATTACCGAAACAAGAGCCTGCGCTTCAAGCAGATAAAAGATTCCCGTTGTTTTTAAGTTATTGCTTGTTCTATATGTCCATTCCGAATAAAATTAACGAAATATCTCTAGAGAAAGATTACACGTGGTATAAATAGAATTCTTCCTCTAATTAATCTTTGAGAGTCTTGTTCTTGAATGCTTGAAAATTTGCATCACATTCTCTTTGTCATCCCTAATTAATAATCGAAATTCAAAATTATCGTTGCAAACTTTTTTTTTTACTTCTATGAAACGTGACGTAACAAAGGACATGTGTCGTAACAATGAGCAATGACGTCACAATGCCTTTAAGAATGGAGTCGCCATAAACAAAGCCTACATCAATGCGGTTCATGCAGATCAGCAAATGGCTCAAGCTTGGAGCCCTATGGCAACTTACCAATGTCCAAGTGAAGGCTATCATATGTCGGCTGTTCAAAGATGTCGCCATAACCCTATCGCCGATGTCCTTCTGGCTCGCTTTTCTGGCACTGTATATGTTCCTTTTTCATATGAACTACAAGATCCTGCAGCGATGCCTAAAGATCGCACAGAAAGAGAATGTCAGACCAGTTTCCAAGCGTTTGAAAAGAACAGGATCAAAAATCAGCCTGTTGAAAAAGGAGACCCGCAGTGGTTGCATCTATGGTTAATGTTTTAAAGTACACGAACTTTTGTTATACTAACAGTTCATTGAAGTTCGTTGTGGTTCTGCGTTATTAGAAGTATTGTTAATTGTATACAGAATGCTAATCTATGTTAAATGTAATCCAATGCCTCCTTAGAAGTATTGTTAACTTTTTACAATACTGATGTCTTTTTATTAAATTTACTTCTACTAATTTGTATTTTTACTCTTTCCTTTTCTTTGTACAGTACTAAATTCACTCTGTGGTGCAACGTTTTATATAAAATATATGTTTACGGAGTAAGCTTCATAGTAAAGACTTCATTAGTAAAATATGTGCCCTATGGACCTGGAAAACTGGTGTTCTCTACAAAAATTTCAAATTTTAAAGTAAAAGTATATATGACAATAATTGTTGAAGAATTTAAATTATTGTAGAGGACACTATAGTGATGTGTAGATATTCTGTCTCGAATTTGTAAATGAATATGTTTTATCGTTTCTTTGAAAGGATAAAAAAAAACACCGCTCGGCATCATCGGTCATCGTTCCGATGTTGTAAGTCCCCGAGTACTGCACATAATGGCGGGTTAGATTTTTTAAAAGGGGGAGGGGGCTTCTGTTACATTCAAATATTCATACTGCCTTCAAAGAAATTTGTTATAGGTGCCAAATGGACCTCTGAAACTTTTCCATTTTTCTTTAATGTTAGGACAAAGTTTCCCCCGTGGCAGAAGTGCAAGGATGCATGTTAATCAAACGAGTCCCGAAATTGGTAGTTTCAATAAAGAATTTTCCAAACACGTTTTTTTTTTTTTTTAAAAATAATATTTATGTGTGAATGATCTTAGTCTTACAACATATTTAAGTCAAGATATGTCAAAATCTGTTCAAAGAAAAATGTCATTTTTAAAGATTAATTACAAATTACAGTGTAATTTGAATGACTTTAATTAAGTACAGTCATTCCTTTATGTGATTTCTTTCATTTATTAACGTACATCGTCTGAAATGATGATCTGTGCAGAGGATACTGGGTACATTATCAGTCTAGCTTAGAATTTATTAATTGCTATATGTTATCAGTTTTCATATGAAATCTGAATCAGCATAGAAATATAAAGAGGTAGTTACCGACAGACAATTCGAAAATAAGAAGCATTGATCACCGGTTTGATTGGATCTAAAAAAATTTCTTAGATACACGCTAACTAAAAAGTCTGAACTGGAAATAATTTTTTGACATGCAAAATAAAACAAAATTTTGTCCAAAACTGCGATTCCCCTATTTCTGATGATGGATTAAATCAATGCGTCCGTGGGGCCACTTCTCGCAGACACTGAAAGAAAAACTTAGTAAAATTCTCATTTAACCTTGGACTTTCAGTAAGGCGTTACGTAATTATAGCGTCTGTCAAATGGCGAATAGATTCTCATTAGTTAAGAAATTAATAACATCAAGATCTTTAAATTGTTGTTGACAACGATGAGATAACTTAAGTCCCACCTCTTTGTCGTACGAAACGCCATTGGATCATTGCTGCACTCGCTGAGATTCGCCTGAATTTCTATCCCATATATATTTCAAGTAAATTTCAGACGCTAATTATGTAACGTCGAGAATGCCACGCCTTACTGAAAGTCCAAGGTTAACTGGGAATTACACTAGTTGATTTAACTAGTGTGCATCGCAAAGCGTTCGTCGCAATTAGTAATAATTCTGTTTACAAGCTAAGATAGAGATTAGAAGTTGTCTCGTGGACCAGAGGTCGTAAAGATATCAGATAACCTAGTGAAAGTTATTTATAAATTCTAGATTTACTAATGTTATCTTGTAAATTTATCCAATACCTAGTAAAACTATGTTCGAGGTAGTGCTTGTATAGACAGTAAATTTACTAGTCTCCTTAGTGACTTTAACTAGTTAATTTTCTTTCAGTGAACAAGCCGCCGTTCTTTATGTATGTGTCTCTTCTTACCAAATAACATGGGACCCATCAGTTTCCTTTTACTACAATATGAATTCAATCGCTCCTTAGACCATAATTAACATACCTCTTACTTTTAACTTTATACAATGACTTTTCAACATTTCCTGTAATTTCTAAAGCTTATTGTATTGTTTTGTATTAGTCTTATAATGTGGGTTCCCTGGCTGGATATGCGGATTCACAACTGACAACACGTGTGTACAAAACAGGAAAACGTTTATTCAACGACACACATAAAAGTAACTTGTACATCATTCGGTTCGTACATTTACACATTCGTATTATAATAACATTACATCTCCCTTCTTTTGAGTGAATAACATGTATGCAAAAAAATAAAAACCAAAATCTGAAACACATGTTTGACCTAACAAGACCATTCTCCTACTTAAACATCTACATAGACACAATTACTTTGGGCTTAACAATCCTACCATAACGAGAAATATAACGAGTGGGATTACATGTAGCAGGGGAGTCATGCTTAGCCTCAGTAGCTGGTTCGGAGATTGGTTCAACAGGATTCGGAAGACTATTTGCTGTAGTTGGAATGGGAGGTGAGGCAGAAGGTTCTGCGAAATTGACGATATTGGAATCTGATACATCAGGCTCGAACTTTTCTTTTGACTTGATCAGGTGTCGTCTGTTTCTCCGGTATACTGCTCCCTCAGTGCTTTTAACTGTGTACGATCTGTCTCCTTCTTCTTTGGTGACTATTCCTTGTTTCCATAGTTTCCCTTCTTGGTACCTTATACTGTCTCCTACTGAAAGCGGTGGTAAAGGCTTAGCACTGCGATCATAGTATCCTTTCTGTTTCTCTCTCTCTGCTACCATCAATTCCTTAACTCTGACTGGCACCTTTGGTTTCAGCTCATCTGGAACTACTGGAAGTATGGACCTCAACTTGCGACTCATCAATAGTTGGGCGGGCGAGTAGCCTAAGCTCAAAGGTGTTGTCCTGTACTCTAGTAGTCCTAGGTTATAATCTTTCCCATCTGCCTTGCTCTTGTCCAAAATTCTTTTGGCAATCTGTACTGTCTTTTCCGCTAGTCCATTGGACTGTGGATACTTTGGACTGGAAGTGACATGGTTAAAGTCATAATCCTGAGCAAAAGTGGAGAAATCTTGGCTTGCGTATTGTGGACCATTATCCGATACGACTTTCCGTGGAATACCAAGCCTACTAAAAATCTTCTTCATCTTCTCTATAACAGCTTGACTGGTTGTCTTGTGTAGTTTCTCTACTTCAAAGTATCTACTGTAGTAATCAACTACTAACAGGTACTCCTGGTTGTTCCATGTGAACAAATCTGTAGCTATGGTCTCCCATGGGTAGTCTGGAATATCATGACTGATCAGTGGCTCCTTGGTGTTCGAGTTTCTTTTCTCTAAGCAAACTCCACATTCCAGAACCATGTTTGTGATGTCTGCTGACATCCTGGGCCAAAATATAATGTCTCTAGCTCTCCTTAAGCATTTTTCCACACCCATGTGACCTATATGTACAGCTTCCATCATCTGGCGTCTTAAGTCTCTTGGTATGATTATCTTGTGACCCTTAAATATAATGCCATTTCTCTCTGTCAACTCATCCCTGTGGTTCAAATATTCTAGTGCTAGGGATAGAAATTTCTTGCGTCTTTCAGTCCAACCATCATGTATAATGTTCTTAAGTATTTTCATCTGTAGGTCAGCTTGAGTTGCTAATTTGACTTCCTCTAATCTTCTATCGCTCATCCTTGTGCTGGACGTAGCTGTGTGCACATGTAAGTCCATGCCTGCTGTTAGCTGTGGGTAAGTATCTGGCAAAAACTTGCGTGAAAGTGTATCAGCAATAGGTATGTCCTTGCCTGGGATGTGCGTCAACTTCAGATCATAAGCCTGCAGTTGCAAAAGCATCCTTTGTAGCCTCGCTGGAGCCTGTGCGAGCGGCTTTGCGTGAATGGCAACTAGGGGTTTGTGGTCTGTATGGACCTGGACTTCCCTACCATATAGGTACTGGTGAAATTTCTTGCAGCCGAAGAGGATAGACAACATCTCCTTCTCTATCTGGGCGTACTTGATTTCCGCTTGGGTTAGTGACTTTGAAGCAAATGCAACTGGTTTGCCATCCTGCAAAAGTGTTGCTCCGAGCCCAAACTGAGATGCGTCAGTCTCCAAGACTACTGCTTTTCCTGGGTCAAAGTATGTAAGCAGAGGTCCAGGTGTTCTGGTTATAAGGTCCTTGACCTTCTGGAATGCCTGGGCCTGTGGTGTATCCCATATAAATTCCGAGTCTTTCAGCAGCAGCTGACGTAACGGGCTGGTGATGTTAGCAAGATTTGGTGCAAACTTTGAGAGGTAAGTGATCATACCCATGATAGTCTGAAGCTCTGACTTATTGGAAGGAGGCTCCATATCCTTGATAGCAGCTACCTTAGAGGGATCTGGCTTCAATCCATCTGCTGAGAGGATGTGGCCAAAATATTCAACTTCCTGAACTCCCACTTGTAACTTCTCCTTGTTCATCTTGATGCCCACACTCCTGCATTTATCTAACACCTTGATGAGGTTGTCATTGTGCTCCTGCGGGGTCCTGCCGTAAACCAATATGTCATCAACAATGGCAGCAACTCCGGACATTCCTTCGAAGCACTGGTCTATCTTCTGCTGGAAGATGTCTTGTGAATTCTTCAAGCCAAATGGTAAACGCAGGTAGCGATATCTCCCGAATGGAGTATTGAATGTAGTGAGCAGTGATGATTCACGTGAAAGTCGAACAGTCCAGTAACCAGAGCTGGCATCTAACTTGGAAAAGTACTTGGCACCTGAGACTTGAGGAAGGATATCATCCAAGGTCCTCATAGGGTAATGTGGTCTCATAATGGCTTTGTTGAGTTCCAAGGGATCCAAACATACTCTTAGCTTTCCTGATGCTGGCTTTGTAGTAACGACTAATGAGTTCACCCATTCTGTTGGTTCTGTTACCTTGGTGATGATTTGCGCCGACTCCATTCTGTCTAACTCTACTTTTAGCTTGTCGCGTAGGGCTACAGGCACCTTGCGCGGGGGGTTGACAACCGGTCTAACATTGGGATCAACCTGAAAAGTACATTCTCCTGCAAACAGACCAATGCCATGAAATACATCTGAGTACTGACTAAGCACATGACTCTTACTGAAGGGCATAACCTTATCAATAGAGTAAGTGAGGTGAACTATGCCTAAATCTAAGCATGCTCGTAAACCTATAATTGGATGCGAATGTGTCTGTACGACCTGATACTCAATGCTATAGTCCTTACCCTTAAGGTTGCTTTGAATAACAGAATAGCCTATGGGGTGTACAGAGTGGTCATTATAAGCAAAAAGCTTAATCTTAGATTTGCCTAATGTGTGATAGGGGGCTAAATCAATGTACAAAGATTCGGGCAGAATATTGACTTGAGACCCTGTATCTACTTTGAACCTAACCTCTTTGTGGTTTGGGCCTAGCTTAATGTTAATAAATGCTTGATCATGCTCAACATTGCTATCAACATTGTCAATGTTAAAATCTGAATCTGACTCATGAACAAAATTGCCAATCACATTACATGTATCATGATTAATGTCAACAGATCTCTGTGTATAAGTATTGTCACTTTCACGATTAACATTGTTCATTTCACTGGGCTTCTGCAGACAGTCACTCGAGTTCACATGGTTAATGTCATTTACGGATCGCGAACGACACACACTGGCGAAGTGGTTCCACTTGTGGCAATTGTTGCACCTCTGGCCTTGTGCCGGACAAGTATCCTGAGTTCCATGTCGCTTTCCGCACTTTCCGCATGGCTTCGTCTTCGGGGTAGACGGAAACTTTGTCGGAGTCTTTGGCTGAGTGGATCGCGTCTTCGTCTGGTGGGGTGGTCTCCTACCGCTCCTCTCTGCAGGTGAGTGTGTATGGGGTGTAGACTTGGACAATGCTTGTATGTGTACCGATTGCTGTCCCATGAGTTTGAGCTGTTCCTGAGAGTACTCGTATGCCTGAGCTATCTGTACAGCCTTATCTAGGGTGAGTGCCTCGCCAACGTTAATAAGTTTTTCCCGAATTTTTTCTGATTGTATCCCAAACACGATTCTATCTCTTATCATTTCCTCTGCGTCACTAAAGTTGCAGTCCCTTGCTAATAGTTTTAGTTTAGTCACAAACTGATCAAACGTGTTTGTTCCCTGTACTTCATTGTTAAACTTGTATCTGGCGAAGATTGGGTTTAACTTGGGTTGAACGTACCTGAGGAATCTATCATAGTGTGGTTGTAGTTTCTTCATGTCGTCGTTCGAAAATGCTGGGAAAGTGTTGTAAATATCACGACCTTTCTCGCCAATCCACAATAAAAGGTATGAGACTTGTTCTTCTTCATTCTTTTCTTTCAATGGGCCTGCGAAAATCAGCTTCACATGTTGTTCAAACTTTTTCCAGGCTTCGGGCAAATTCGAACTAGACCAGTCCATGGTCGGTGGGGGAATGCCGCATAATTCCATGATAGCCGTGTCTTACTTGTGAAGGTGGAACTATCCGCCACTTCTGACACCATGTATTGTTTTGTATTAGTCTTATAATGTGGGTTCCCTGGCTGGATATGCGGATTCACAACTGACAACACGTGTGTACAAAACAGGAAAACGTTTATTCAACGACACACATAAAAGTAACTTGTACATCATTCGGTTCGTACATTTACACATTCGTATTATAATAACATTACACTTATCTGTCACAATCGTAACCCACTAAACAACTTATCAAAGTTAGCAAAAATTGTAACATAGATTCGTCATCGTGTCTTCTTAACTTATAAAGATAATGGGGGATTTGAGAGCGAATAGTTTTTGTCTTGTCCGTCCGTCTATCTGTCCGCTTTTATGTCTGTCTGTTCGTCTGTTTATCCGCAAAACCTAAATATTGAATATTGACCATAACTTTAGATTAATTGGAACTGTGACTTTAATATTTCCCATATGTATTTAATACCCCTTCTGACCTTGAAATTTGGCTAACCTTTACAAAATAAAAAAAAAAATCAAATTTAACCCTAATCATAACTTTCGTACAGTTGGTGCTATCGCTTTCATGCTTCACAAATATATGTAAAGTAGTATTTCCTTTAAATAGAATTTTCCATGGGTATTGTTGATTTTGACCTTTGGAGTTTGACCCAATTTTTTAACAAACCAGGCCATAAATTTTGATCGGTTGGTTCTTGGGCTTTCAAAATTTACAAGTACATATACATTCATAAAATTAAAACAAGTTCTTTCTTTGAAAAAAATAAAAATGTTGGTGTCTGAAAACCTTGGAGTTTAACCTGCATTTGAGAAAATTTTACTTTTCTTATGGGCTCCCATACGGGGCATCAACATCAAAATGGTTTTATGTCAGAGCCATAGAGATCTGCAAATAAAGTCATTGGAACTCACCTGCAGTGAATTCCAAAATTTGATATTTTTGTTTTTCAAGGGAAATACAAGTTTTTTTAACATATGCATTTATGACTGCAATATTTAAAAATATATATATCTTTATGTTAATAGCTCTTTCATTAATTAGTAAAATGCAGCAAAGCTCAGTATTTATGCTACTTAATTGTATTTGTGTGGTATTATTGAAAATACTAAAACTCAACATTTCGTACAAGTTTTGCGATAAATCCCAGATACTGCTTTTCAGTACTTTCAGTGCTTTGATGTCCACCTGCAAAGTTCACACACGATTAATGCTGTCAAGAAATAAATGTAACACTATTTCGAAGTGGGAATCTAGGGTTCTGTGCTTATTATTGAACAGATTTTATACTGGTCAAATTTGAGGGGGAGGGTATGCACCACATAGAAAATTTAATTAACATTTAAATTTAATCATGTTACTTGTCAATATTTACTTCACTGTGTTATTATTATGACAATTGTACTAACTGTATCAACTTTCCTAACACCAAAAGAACTTATAAGTTGTAAGAACTTCTTTCAGATCCTTTTGCGTTAAACAATAAAAATATGTTCAAATCAAAATTCACCACTATATAGATCTATAACTATTAACAATAAACTTTTCCGGGAGGCAAGTGTTTTGGATATTCTAGTAGGGCTGTATCATTTTTTTTTATAAGATACATCGTTAATCCCAACTCTTTGCTGGTTTGTTTGTGTTTTGCCTTGTTCATGGTCAGCTTGACCTACATATGCAAAGAGATCAGGGGTGTGAAATCGTCAGACCAATGGTATTAAACTCTACTCGGAGGTGCGACCAATCGAATCAAGAAGCCCTGACACGTGAGTTGAACTACACGTGAGTTAATATAACTTGCCGTTTACAGTGAAGCAAACCATACTCGAGTAGGTTGCGGTCACAATAACAGGTATGATTATATTGTCATTTAATAAACGGCTAAGATTTGGAAAGATTTTACTGTACAAATAGTATGCTCTGAATTATTTGCATGCCATGTTGCGCAACAGTTATGGATAATCTATGGATTTTCTGATAATTGCAAAATCTTATTCACTAATTCCTAATTCAGCTATCTGGGTTAAGTCCATTAACCTATTCTTAAAGTTTCTGACGATTAATTTGATAGTTTATTTTTTTTTGGAACAAATTAAGATATATAGCTTCTCAATATATATATATTTATAACAGTAATCAAAAAGAAAAAGAAAGACTTGTTTTAAATATTATCTGGAGCAAAGTATGTAACACACTTTTATAAAGTTTGTGCTCATTTTTACTAAAGGTATTATTATTACCATTTTTTTAATTAATAATATGTAACTTAAGTAAACAGTAAATCCAAGATAATTCTCAAGGTCTTATTTAATATGATATGCATACCCATTGTAGGAAGTTCATTCCGCTGTGTCCAGCTGTCCTCTTCAGTTACCAAGGCAACAGATATAAACATCCTGACCAGTCAGAGTTGATAATCCATAGCTTTTTTCTGGTGACAACAAAGGAACTTTGTCCATCAGAGAATGCAGTCGAAAATTCTCACTGGGAACTTTACCTTTAAATCATTAAAACCACCAGACTTGTCCAATTGTACAAAAAGGTATTATAATGTCTACGTGGAGGTATTGAAACTTTTCCTTTACTAATTAATCATCTGGACATGATTAGATTCGGATTCCAGATTCACATATAAAACACAAGTTTGTTTCAGAACTTTAGAAGAAATGTCGTTTAATGTTGGTACAATTAGGCAATTAAGATTTCTAGGCCTTTTATTATTTAATAAGAACCTTCTAATTCAGCATTCACATTTATTTGAAGTGATATTCAAAATGGAATACTGGTAGATGAGATGTTATTTTAAAATTGTAGCATGAAATGAAACCATCAATGAGTTGAGACTGAAAATGATTTAAATATGCATATTTATTTTCAAAAAATTCATAAAAGTGGATTGATCACAAAATTATTCAAAGTCATTCATGTTTAAAAGATTATTATCTAGGTGCCTTTGAAACGATGATACTGAGGAATTTTTGTTTACGTAACCTTTTTTCTGCAGATTTTTTTATTTTATGTAACTGTTCCCAAATGACTCTTTTCGTAACTTCTCATTAACATAAAAAAAACCGTGTCAGTTAATCATGACAATATGTGTATCAAACTGTCGCAGATACTATCAATATTTTGCTTTTGTTATTTTCAGAGAACTGTGTGAATATTTTGAGAACAGTTATGACCTCAATGAGAGCTTGTTCACTGCACTCAAAGGTATTGAATTCCAGACACGTTTAAATGCTAAACAAAAAGGACAGAGCACTGTGATCTTTTAAGTGTGCAGTCCCCATTTTCTGACCCTGCATTACTCTGTGCATAGAGAAATAACAAAATATAACACTAGCAATTAAATTGTCTAATGATAGGTTAAGTATTTCACAAATTATTAGCTTGCAGGTATACAGGTATAGCCTTGTCTGTCTGTTTGTGCAATTGCATCCAATCTAAAGCTGGGGGTATACAGGAACCACCGTGTCTGTTTGTCTGTCTGTCTGACTGTCTATGCAATTGCATCTGCTATGTAACTTGGATACTGAGAAACATTAGAATATCTCACTTGAGAAGAAAAATGCTTTTGACTTCTCAGTATGTGTTGTGACCTTGATTCAAGATAATGAAAGGTTAAGTGTGTGTGTGGGGGGGGGGGGGGGGCTGTTGTCATCACTTAATTATGATCATTATAAGAGAGTAACATTGAAAGAAAAATATATGAAGAATGTGTGCAATTTTGTGCTTGAATTTTTAATTCTCCAAGGGATTCAAACTTTACAGAAGCTTATCATTGAAACTTTTATTTCATTTTCAGGGATATAAAGTATTTTTCCAAATATGGTGTTTTTTATTACCGGTATTATTTTTTGGTTTTAGATGATTCTGTGTTTTACAAATGCCCAGACAGGTTGCGTCTGCCACTTATTTTCTACTTCTGCCACACTGCCGTGGTATACGTCAACAAACTGATGTTAGCAGGCCTCATTACAGTACGTACAAAGATTAAAAGATTTTAATCAATACAGTAAAACTCGTTAAGTACGAACACGGATATTGCAAATTCATGGATATAGCGAATTCATCTTGGATCCCCAATTATATTAAATTTAACGAACCCTTATACGGATTTTACGAATTACGGATATAGCGAAGTAATTTCATAGGTCCAAGTGACTTCATTATAACCGATTTTTACTGTATATTAAAATTAAAGTATAATCAAGGAAAAAAAAAAAAGAGCAGTGATAGTCAGAATGACACATAGCTGATTTTTTCTTCCTTAGCTTAATAACATTACACATACACAAAATCTATAATATAGAAGTGTATTTCATATACTAAACATCTCAGAGCAAATTGTAACATTGACCAGGAAAATGTGTTATATCACTGTTTTATCAGTCACTTCCTCAGATATTTGCTGATGTCAACTCTGTATTTAAAAAGGATGTTATTAGGACCCATATATAGTTACATAGAGATAAGCCATTAGTTATTTACCATAATTTTGAAAACCTTGTCCACTATTCCAAGTTTTAAGCAATAGAATAGGAGTTATCTCTGAACATTAAGCAGAAAATTTGGTTCATTTTGATGTTGAACAATGGATTCTTCATATTTAATTGAGAAATTCCCTGCATCCAGGATCAGATTGCAGTTGGGGCCAATGTAATTGATCTTATATCAAAAATGTCTAGTACAGTATATACAGGGTGCAGATGAGTCCTATCACGTTTGATTTGCATATTACCAGTATATTGCAAAAGATTTCTCATTTAATTTTCAGGAGCGAGTGAACTTGGAGTTTGAGACAATGTTTGAGACTGGTGTTGATGAAATGTCTTGGGATGACACAGTAAGATCTACATTTATTGAAGCCACAATTAGAATTTTCTTCTTTAAAAACTCAACAGAAAATCAGTTATTTTAAAATGTTGCATTTTCATCAGGAAAATTACCGTATGGGTGGCAGCTACAAGTGGCCATCTGTTGACTCGGTGGTGGAGTACAGAAGAAACGTACGAAATGTGGTCCTGAAGGCGATACACGACACACCGCTAGAACTTCCTGTTACCATGGAGTCACCATGGGTAAATAAAAAAAAATTGTAGAATATTGTAGAATGTTCTTGATACCCTGGTAATTTTTTTCCAACTAACAAAAGCTGAAGTATACTTCATATAACTGTGGTGGTCAGACAGGCTTGATCACTGGTGGCCAGATAGCTCAGTTGATAGAGCACCTGACGGGAGTTTCAGGGGACCCTGGTTCAAATCCCATTATGGTCCAGTCACATTTTCAGCCTCTTCAATTACATATCATTTTTTTTCAGGGAGAGCAATGATTTGCTCTAGTACACATTAGTCAGCAACAAATAGAATACTTTTTGTGAATGTGAAATGTATTTTGACATGGTAGCATTTCTCTCTGTAGTGGGCAATCCTGATGGGAATTGAGCATGAGAGAATCCATCTGGAGACCTCCTCAGTGCTGATTCGTCAGCTGCCGGTGGAATTGGTCACCAAACCAAAGGGATGGGTGTATGCCCCATACAAATGTGGTAAGATGATTTAAGTTTTAATATTAAGGCATCAAGAGTAAAGAGTATATGTATGTTGGAAAAATGACCTGATTGATAAATGCAGGAGGAAGAGTCGAAGAGAATCCCCTGATTTCTGTCGAGGCTCAAGACATCAAGTTTGGGAAGCCCAAAGAGTTCCCATCCTATGGATGGGACAATGAATATGGAGAATTTTCCACCAGGTGAAAATCTCTTAAAACTTTTCAGTATGGATGTTTAATTAAGATTTTTTATATGGATATATTAAAAAAGATATAAGAGATCTTTGTATGCAGAGAAAAAGATCTGAGTCAGACTTGGAACTTTCCATTTGGAATATTGAAATTTAAATTTTTAGAGTTCCTGCCTTTGAGGCCTCCAAGTTTATGATCACCAATGGGGAGTTCCTGGAGTTTGTGGAGAGTGGGGGGTACGAGGATGAGAAGTTCTGGACAGAGGAGGGGTGGAAGTGGAAGGAGTACAGACAATCCAAGCACCCCGTCTTCTGGGTGTGCAATCACGGTGAGGGTGAGGGGCCACTAGGCAATGGTGCAGGCCTTCCCAGCTTGGTTTAATAGGGAGATTTTTTTTTAAATTCAGAAGATATATGTGGGGCCCATTCTATATGTACACCAAAATGTTATTTATTTAGAGAAAACACACATTTTATTTTAAGGTACAACTTGTATCTCAATTATCTGGGAGGAAGGGAGCATTTTTTAAAACACATAAAAGTGGCATTGTGATTACAAGAGAAAAATTGATAAATAGAACTTAATGCTGTGTCTTACAGGATGTAAGGGAGGTTGTGGAGCTGATTTATCTCAGTACTCCCACTGTCATCTCCCCAACACTGTCAGTAACGGTGTAATGAATGGATCACTGACCAACGGTCACTCCAGGGAGATCATCAATGGAGGAGAAAAGAAAAATTACATGTAAGCTTAAGGTCTACATGTACCATATTTATATAAACCATTGTAAACCTGAATGAAGGATTGGGATATAATTAATTATTCGAACTGAACTTGAGCTATAGACATAATGTATTTTGAACAGGTACCGAGCCATGTTTGACGTGCTGCCTATGCCCCTTGATTGGCCAGTGGATGTGAACTACCACCAGGCCAGAGCTTTCTGTGCATGGAAGGGTTTTGGATTCCGACTTCCAACAGAGGCCGAACGAAATGTGATGAAAGGAAACAAGGTGAAGGTCATTTGTTAATCGCACATTCTTCTGATTGAGTTTCAAAACTGACAGATAAGGAGTAAAACTTTGTAACTAATGGATGTTCAAACTTTTTCAGTTGATGAAGAATGGTGGAACAGATGGAGACATCATTTATCAGAAGAAACCCAAGGCCAACATCAACTTACAATATGGCTCCTCAACAGTATGTTGTCTGTGCTCTTGATACGCAGTCAAAACAATCAAAGTCATAAAATTCCAAAGGACAAGGATAAAAATTTCAAACCTGTTTGGCCCTTTTTTTTTTTTACAGCCTGTGAACATGTACCCAGGCAATGAGCTTGGTTTCCATGACATATTTGGCAATGTGTGGGAGTGGGCAGAGGACCACTTTAATGGTCTGGACGGTTACGACAGCCACTGGTTCTATGATGATTTCTCCTCCCCATGCTTTGATGGCAGGCACAACCTCATCCTGGTAAGTGTTTCATGTCAAGTATATGATTGAAAGAAATAATAGGCTTCTATTTACAAAATTGAATGAATTCTAAGCGAATATCAAATTTCTTTCAAAGGGTGGATCCTGGATAGCTACTGGGGATGAAGCATCAAAGTTTGCCAGATTCGCCTTCAGACGACACTTCATTCAGCATGCTGGATTCCGCATGGCTAGATCTCTACAACAGTCTGACAAAGTTGATGTTCCAGCAAGACTTATCAAGGATGAGGTCTTTGTTCTGGGGGTTGGAGTAGAAGGTTTGATTAGTTTCTCGTTCATTTCTGTTTAAATCATTAAATACATTTAATTTGTAAAATAGCCTACAGACCAATGACTGCAGGATAAAAAAGACATTTACTGTATATAGCAGGTTACTTCGTAAGCACTGTACTTAATGAATGATTTGCTTTTTAACATTTAATTTTTTTTATTTTTGCAGAGAAGGAAGTTCCCAATGAGGATGAGATGGAATTTAAATGGGTGCCCACGACCAATTACCAGTACGGTTTCGATACTGAGGACTCTCTGTATGGAATTCTGGAGATGGAGTTCGGATTCCGCGATTCTTTTCCACATTGCGTAGCTCACCATTGCCTCTCCCTACAGAAGTCATACAAATGTGACCCCAAATCAGCTTTATGGCTAGGGAGTGGGGCAGGCAGGGGGCCACTAGAACTTACCACTGTCTTTCAAAATGTGAGTTTGATTTTGTTGGATAATTGAGAATTTCAAAGTTGGAGATGTTTTTTACTAGGGACGTTATGCTGGGAAAAAAATGAAAGTTTTAATATCTACATTAAGACATACCGGGTATATTAGCATACAATTTATTCACAGAATTGTTGTTTTCTCCCATTATCACATTTCGCAATTAAGTCGTCTCTAAAAATATTAGTTGTCCTCTCCTGGTTGACCAAACATTATATTGTAAAGATGGCCTTATCAAGTCTTATATCTTTAATTGATAAACTGAAAGGCAGGTTCACAGCTCTGTAAGTAACAACAGATTGAGATTTCAAAAAATCCTCACTAAAATTGTCAATGTTGTGATTGTAGGTACTTGGTGTTGACTTTGCAGCCAGGTTTATTGATGCTGCAGAAAAACTTCAGAATGGAAAGACTCTCACCTATAAAACAAGCAATGGAGAGCAAAAGATGGCCGCCATGACGGGAGTTTATAAACCTGACCAGGCTGTATTCAAACAGGTATGTCGATATCCCTTCAAAGTGTGAAAAATATGCTACTCTTGTCAGAGAAATTCCCAATTATTAATGAAAAATTCCAGTTGAATCAAACTACATGTGTATTAACAACAGCAAATGCAGTTCCTGTCAGAATAAAATGAAAATTGTTGCATGAAAAACTTTCAATTTCAAGCTTAATTTTGAGACTTCTTAAATAAGAGATATCCTTCCTGGCTGAGGATGGGATATCCTTAAGCTTTTAACTAATGTTGATATACTATTAACATGTTCTGTTTTAGATGACATGGATCCCCAATGAAATCTGCAATCATGATATGACCATTGTAACATTTCTGGACAGAACTATGAATGCAAAAGGTGAGAACAGAGTCATGCAACAAGGATTATTTTTTGGCCTAGTCAGTGATAGTTTTAAACTTAAACTAGAGGTACTGTGAGCAATGAGCTCACTAAATGATACCCCCTGCTTCCTATATAAATATAATGGCAGTGTCCATGTTTTGCTGTGGGAAACCCAAAATATATGTCGGATTAAAAAGTAAAATAGGAGGGGCACATTGGCAATATGTAATAAAGGTTCTGTGAAAGTGTCATTCAGTTTCACTCAGTGGTATAAGAGGACTTGCGGATAAGAGACGGGTACCCCAAAGCGTAACAGACGGATGTACAGCTAGACGGACGGATGGACATACTGATTACTATATACTCTCCCGCTTTTCAAGTGGGGGATGGGTATAATTAAAAGGAAATATTTTTAAAAGGAAGAAAAATTAATTAATATCTTTTTAGTTATCTTCTATCTTGAATTTCTGACGTCAATGTGTTCTCAGAATAGAGAAAGGATATATCAGAAACAAAAATTTTCAACAACAAAAAATTAGATTAATAAGATTCTCTTTGGGATTAAATAATGGAAGAAAATGGGAAAATAGTAAATCCCTTAAATCTTTCATATCTGATGTCCCTTCTTAACTTAAGATGTCAGTTAAAAAAAAGATTGTGAAAAAGAATTTTAAATGTTTAAAAAGGAAGAAAAAGTAAAGGAAGGGGGGAAATAAAGGAAAAAGGAAGTAAAGAAGTAGTAAATCCAGTTGATTTTTTCATGTTCAGTACTTGTGATCCTGGTTGAAAATCAAGATAAAGAAAGGATTATCTTTTTATCAAATACATCAGTGAAATATCAAAATTTTTGACGTCATTGTTCTCAGAGCAGGGAAATCAAGGGGGAAGAGATGTCAAAAAGATAAAATAGTAATTAGAAAAAATGAAATACAAAACTAAAAATGCATTAGTATATCTTAAATCAGAATAGTTTTCATGCCTGAAGTTTTAAAATTGTAAAAATGGTACTTTAAAAAGCAATAAAATGTTTTCACTTTGCTGATCATGGATGTGGAAATTATGAAAGAAACACAGTTGGTGAAATTTTGTAATATTGTATACAGGGTTATTTTTGCCTTGGTTATTCTCGCCCTTTCACACTTGAAAACAATTTTGTTCCGTTTGAAATTCGCCCTCTCGTTGTTTTTGTTTAAGAAAGTATACTGTATTCTTTGAATTCGCCCCCTTTTAAATTCCCTAAAAGGAGGATATGGAAAAAGGGCAAAAATTTCCCTGTATACATGCAGTAAACAGTTTCCACTCATTTTTAATATTTCTCTAGATAGGAGGAGATACCTTGCTCATTTCTTTATTACTAAGTAATGACCCCTCTCCCCTTTAGGGTGCCAAAAATCTGTTGCATGTACATGTATATTCATTTCCTCCACAATTCTTTTCAAATGAGGAAAGGCACCCAGAAAATGACAGTAAAAACTTTGACACCCCCCTAAGTTTTTTTTACGTAAACTTTTTTTATTACAGCATGGCTGGCCAGATTATGGGAAATCACTGTGAAATTGGGGATTGTCGTGATTGTCTCTAAGCAAGCCGAATGGAATCAGGAAAATCTCGCCCCGTTTCTAGGGAACAAGTAAGTTTTTTCACATTGAATTACAACATGTACATACTCTTAATTTTATACTGAAATCTATAAGTTCAAAGATTGAGGTAGTTTTTCAAATCAGGTTTGTGAGTTATTTTAGGCTTATCTTATAATAAAAGCAGTAACACCCCCCCCCTCCAAAAAAGAAATGCAGAATTTTTTCCTCTTTGCTAAATTCTGGGTCCTAAATCTTCCAGTGTCCCATTTTGCCATTATATAATTATGAGATTTTATTGTTTTTTATTCTGTTTGATTAATTTTTAGACTGGTATTAAAAGAAACCAAGGATCTGAAGTACAAAGCCAAAGAAGGGGAGCTAACTGCTCAAGTCACAGTCTGGCAGCGCCAGTAATCTCCCCTTACAAGCAGGGATTTTTTTTTTTAAAAGGACACTTCTTTTACACTTATTATGTTTATTGTTCATGTTATTTTTTGATTGTTGTTCTGCAATTTCTGAGACTTTTACATCTTCATATTTAACTTTACTTATAAATATGAATCAATCACTTTTTGCCATTGTTTGTTTTTAAATTTTAAAAGAATGAGTTGTAATGCTCCTGTATTTTGTAATACTTTACTGCGATTTGTTAGTAAGGTCGGACGACTTTACATGTATATACTTATTATAACTATTCATGACTAGTTATCATTGATCTTTTTATTAGCAAAAGCCAGTGCATTATACTATACATGTATTATATTTGCTCAGTTCAGTAGCTGTTTTATTCATTGTAAAGAATAGAAACATTTTATGGTTGGAGCAAATTTAGTGTAATAAACTTCAAACTGTTCTTGGCTGTTTCATTGGTAGTTCAAAAATCTGTTGTATACATGACAATCAAACTCTATCACATGGAAATCGGCACTCTCTACCATTTAGAGAGTAACAAATGTCAACTCTGCATGGGAGTTAGGAAAATCAAGGGGAGCAAGAAAATAACTTGTGTATTTCAAGACTGAAATGCATTAATAAAAGTGGTTGGGACTTTCACTGCACTAAAGTGTTCCAGATATTGATGTTCAAGATACAGAAGTTCACTCATTAGGGATACAAAACTTCACTTTTTTTCAAGGCCATACATGTATATGCAGACCATACAAAGAACATTAACTCCTGGTTGTATTCATATTGACGCTTCTTTATTGATAACAAGTCATCTGGTAACATTATTATAAATTAAATGTACATTCCACTGTTTGTACAAGGTAAATCTTAACAAAAGGACATTTAGTAACATTGTAAATCTCTGTTCACACTATGTAGTATGAATATGTAAACTATAAATAGCACAGCATTTTGTGAAATGTTTTACCACATGAAACAAATGCTGGGTAAAAATCTGTGCAGCTTAATAAAATCACACCCCCTCCCCCAAATGTCAAAAATGTCTTTAAACCAATTATTTTTTACAGAATTGGAAAAATCTGTACCAGTTTCCTATATGATACAAGTATGTACTTGTATTAAATGTATCTTTCAGAGGTGATTCCTTACAAATATAAATAAAATGTGTCAACCTTGTATTCTTGATGGAAAGCTTTGATGATTATTGACTTTTACAGATAACATTTTTGAACAAGAGAAATTGGTTCCAAATCAGAAGTTGACAACTATACATATATAGGTTCTTTCTAGCTTCTTCAAAACCAAACACCGTAATACTTCAACAATAAATAATCTCCCAAAAGAAAATAAGTGTTAAAATCAACAATGTACAGTTCACATCAAAACTCTAAATTTTTATGAAATATAATACTCTTGCAACCAAAATGTTAAAATGACAAGTTATCACACAGAGACATGAACTTCAGCAAGCATATGTATAAAGAAAACGAGAATCTACATGAGAAATAGTTATATGATATGACACGAAATCCGAGGGAATAGAAAATCTGTACAAAATGGTGAATGTGTATGCTTATTTTACAGATGAAAATGGAGGTTGGACCATTCGGAATCTGGATCATAGTGACTTAAAACAATCACAGATTACAATCTCATAGTTGTTTTTTTTGGGCTGTCTTTAATACATAACTTCATTTTCAGTTCCAACAGTCCTTCCAGTTATGACGAGAGTACACATCTTCATGTTATTAACAAAACTGAAAAAAAAAGGAAACAGCAACTTTAACTCTCTCATGATATCATACTTTCTGGTGTTGAAGCGTTTACAATTAAATCGAAGCTCTCTCTTCACTGAGACACAGTAGAACATGGTGGTAGCAAACACTCTTATAACGAATTGATGATTACAACGAAGTAATTTTCATTCACTGTGACTTAAAAATATCAAGGGATATAACAAATTTTGCTTATAACAATTGTCCCTCCCTGGCACTTCATTATAAGCTGTTTTACTGTACTAGTCCTTAGTCTATTTTCAAACCAAAGTCATTTCTACTGTTTACAATGAGATTGATGTGACATACCTTCCATCGATTACCACACTCCATACAGAAAACAAACGTCGTCATAGGTTCATCAGAGCTTCTCGTTTGTAGCTGAAAAGCAAAATCAGGCACTGATCAGACTGAAGGTTTTTATAAATAACAAAGAACAGAACTGGACAAAATATGATAATGGTACCCAATTAAAGGACACTCTTTGCAAAGAATAAGGAAACTGTACAAAGAGGTTAATTAGTAAATGGGTCAGGAATATTCAATCCTATAAAACAGGCCCCAGAATATTCAGTTTTAATCAGTTTTGATTTTGAATTAGAATTCTAAGTGATTGCTTTAACTCAAGGGCACTGTTTTTGAGTATGTTAGACATAAAGCACATCCTTGTCTAACTAAACAAGAGATTTTTGTAAAACATCCATTCCCACTCTTCCTCAAATACAATTGTAATTGAAATTTTTCTAAGTCTAAGGGACAAACTCTGTCAAAAATAGCTTGATTGTACCCAAAACAGAACTTGACTTAGATATTTTTATGACAAATCTGTATACTGAATTTCGTTTTGGTATGTGCAATCTCTGCAAAGAAAATGAACAGAAACTGCAAAAAATTGGAATTTTCTAAGTCCAAGGGGCATAACTCTGTTCACAATGGCTTAATCCTATCCAAAACAGAACCTGATCTAGATATTCTTATGATAAATCTGTATACAAAATTTCATTTTAATATGTGAAACTTCTGCGAAGAAAATGAACGAAAACCAGCAAAGCAATATGCTCTCCCTTATTCGAAGGGGGGCAAAAAAATATTTGAGATAGACCAGAAAACTTGATTTGCCAGTGATCACGGGTCTGGGGAAAGATATAACAGAAGAGTTGATTAAATTTTCCTCTTGGAGCTAGGTCTTAGCGTTTCATTGGAAAACATACACCAGATTCCAGTGCCCCTCACCTGATTGTATGTACAGTTCTTCTTGCCACACTTTCCACACTTGAACAGATCTGTGACTGTACCCTCTTGTTTGGCCATCTGATGATCATCAATGGACTCCTTGGTGAATTTGGCTCTCAATTGTTTCATTTCATCGCTTGCCATTTCCTTCAAGTAGAATTGAGATTATGGATTGCCTAATATATATTCCAGCTTCATTATGAAACCCTACAGTGCACTTTGTCTTGACCCCTTTCGACCTTGGCCAAAAATGCACAGGTGTCTCCCACAGGCATTTGGAATGGTTAAATTCGACTTTTAAATTGGGAAGCACCTCAGTTTTTTTTTTAAAGTGATCTACCGGCCTGTGGTGCCTCCTTTTGCTGTCAGTAAATGCTGACATACTGAAAAATACTCTTTTTTGTGCAACATAAAGATATATTTAGAAAATTAAAACATTTGGACCTCTGACAATCTTTGAATGTTTCTAAATATCTATATACAGTGAATTAGTATCTTCCTCTATCCATTGTCCATTTCTGTTATAAATACAGTCAAGAGGATGAATGATACTCATGCTATTGCATGAATTTGCTTCTCATATACCCTGGTGATAATCAAAGTAATTACAAAAAAATTAATTTGAACTAACTTTAAGTATACTGTCCAATTATATGCAAAAAAAAAAAAAAAAAAAAAAAAATCAAAAATCACTTACATCAGCTGTCATTATTGCAATGCTCTCTGGAGGTATCAACCCCATTATAACTCTTTCCTTTAGTTTGGGATTTTTCTTGTCTTTCAAGTTGGCGACACGACTTCTTATCCGAGCTTTGTATTTCTGTTCTGTATTCTTAAATTCCAAAAATATAGCTACAAAGGTCAAGGATAAATAATTTCATAGTTTTATGATTAAAATATAAACATTTGCAATGTCATTTAAGTTTTTCAGCCACTTTAGAGAACAAGCTGAAAAGAAATCAAACTTTATTTGCAACTGATTACCTGAGTGTCTCAGGTATTAATTTTATGATATACAATGGTTTAAGCCACAGTTATAAAATCTAGAATGCATTTTAGTTAATGTTAAAAAAATACCTATCATCTTTAAACATTACTTAGTAGTAGGGCTGCCACGGTTCAGACATTTTTCGGTTCGGTTTGGTTCACATTTTGAAATTTAAATAAAACATCTTTATATATATCAAAGGATAATAAGGATTAAGGACATTGTAGAAAGTACTATTTTGCTGACACAAATTTCTATCCATTTTATTCAACAGAACAAGTTGTTAAATGTAACAAAAAATAACAAAGTAATAAACTTCTTGTTTAAAATAAAATAAAATAAATATAGTTTTTGACTAGAGTTATCACCAAATCACAAGTGTGGGAATACTTCACGTTTTTGAAAGTAGGGGACGTGGTTGACAAAACAATTACTTGTGATTTGGTTTTCCTTCCACATGTGTATGCCATGTTTAAATGTCTTCGATGTTACCTGTATTTTCATTGGTTAAAGAACCTTTAATTGAAATAAACAACCAATCACAACGCGTGTTGCAAGCAAATTAGTATTATATAAAAGATAAAAAAAAACCTGACTCGAACCGAACCGAATGCCATTTCGGAGCGGTTAACCGAGTTTTCGGTTAACCATGACAGCCCTACTTAGTAGTTATTACAAATATTATAGAAACAGTTATAAAACCTAAGCAACTTTTTTAAAAACATATTTTTTTCTGGAATCTATAGAAAATGAAGAGATTATGATTTTCCTTTAGCAATGTTTAATGCATGTAAAACATGCAACTTTTTTCATACATTTTTTTTACAATGTTTACATATTAGTGCTAAGTTAACAGAATCAGACTGATATATTTTCACTACAAGACAAGGATACCATCTTCAATTTTTCCTCCAAGATCTATTGCACTCTGTGCATTTGGAATGATAGCTGTAAAGAAAATTGTCCAAAAAAGTTAAATTTGATTAGCAACTAAAATCTTGGAAAGGCATGAAAACATCAAATCACAAGAGCATGTAGTCACCAGTAGACATTGAATCTTTACATGTACCGGTATTATTACATGTAATAGAAAAATATATTTTACATAATTGTACTTAATTTTTTTAACTTTATGTACATGAAAACATATTTGGAAGAAAAACAAATTACTATAAAAATACTGTAAAACGTTAAAAAATGAATCATACTGTCATCATCCAGTTTGAGTGCAGCAGCCAGAAGCTCCCTACACTTGAGTCTGACTGGATCGTTAGTTAAGGAAGCCTCGGAGTCCTGTCTCATCAGTGTCTTCCCCTGGCTGCTCTGACTGTCCATGGACTCTGACATTTCTGAATTATTGTCAGACTGGTCAGGTGATCCTGAAGATTTCTCCCTTTCTTTTTCCTTTTTATCAGGTTTCGATGGTGTGGAATCTGAAAAAATTTTTTTTGGTAAATTTTGTTTTTTGAAAATAAATAACTTTAACCATTTAAAGACCCCATGAAGATAACTAGAGTGCTATTGTTATTACAATTAGCCTCTTACCTGTGGACAAAAGTTTTTTCCAGCTCTTGATTAAAGTCTTTGAAAGAACCACTATCTCATCCTTTGATGCCGCTTTTCTAAAGTTGTTAACTGTCATTCCAATTCTAGTTTTCTGTATGGATAAATTAAAACAATCATTCTATACTGAAAACAATGTATACAGCAAAACTCGGTTATAACAAAGTCACTGGGACCTATGAAATTACTTCGCTGTATCAGTAATTTAATATAACCGTATAAGAAATTCATTAAATCTATATAGCTGGGGATCCAAGATGACTTTGCTATATCTGTAAATTCGCAGTATCCGTGTTCGTAATTAACAAGTTCTGCTATACTTTATATGTTTATATTGATTGAAAGCAAACGGATATTCTCAGGATGAAGTCGAGAACTATAATCATGAAAATGTAACATAAACAATACCTGTAATACAGTGAGGGTCATAGGAATGTCTTTTAATCTGTTTAATAAATCATCTGCACCTCCGTGATCCTATAAACATGATAATTTTTTGTAATAATAAAATAAATAGTTTAACTGTCAGCTTTGAAATCCAAATTGATGCACAAATTTACATTCAGAAATACTATTCACAATGATAGAATCCATAGCTAAATATATATGGTGCATAAAGTATCAAGCTAGTAAAAAATTTGTTACTAGATGTACAATACCCCCCCCCCCTTTTCTATAATTTCCAGAAACACGGGAGATAACTTGAACACGCATGAATACTCACGGCACTGTTGTTGGAAATCATCTTTTCTAACTTCTTCCCGATCTTCATGACTTCGTCTTCACAGCTCATTTTTATCTTTGAATAATAATGCACTTTATTGAATGTGTTTGTGTTCTGATTTGCGACTATTTCTTTGGAATATTTAGGGATTTTGTCTCCTCTGAATTTGATTGCTTTCTTAGAGGGCACTAATGGCGCTAAGAGAACACCGAACCCGACTGGAAATGATTGCTTAAATATTTCTTTTTATTCTCTTGCAAAAATAAATAAATCATTTTAAGATTTTAATACATGGGAATTTAAAGAATTAAAAGAGTATATTTTGGTTATGTTTTTTTCTGAAGGGACCTCTTATTTAAAAAAACAATATAATCCGGAGTTTAAAAGTTTACCCCAGACGGGTTTACTAAAGTGAAAAACAGAAAGTAAAACCTTCAAAGAAGATTACTGATATGTTTCCAAGAAAAAATCTAAAATCAAGTGTAAGTTTTAGATATTCGCGTTTTGTCCAGTTCATTTTTTATGATTATACCATAACTGAGAAATGTCGATCAAAGTAATATCTATCACACATCTGTTCAAAAATCAGTTTTAAAACAGCTGTTTTCAAGAATCAAATTACTAAGTCAATCTGTGTTGAACTATTCTCTTTAGAGAAGTGGACAGGCTTCAACCTACATGTAGGCGAAAGCCTGTCCACTCTTTTAAAGAGAATATATGTTGAACACAAATAAAGCTAATTAATGTATCTTAACAGTGATCTTCTATTTGTCCTTCATTTTTAGACTGGAATAAATGAGAACACAATGAAACTGAAAGAAAAAGAACACATTTTGATGCAGAAGAAGACATTTGATGTTTACTACCTAGGAAATATAGAAAAAATTGCAATAGGAAATTCACAAAAGAGAGACACAGAAGCTCAGCTCATAGACAGAGTGGAGGAAGCTCAGGTACGATCTTATACAGAGGTTCAGCTTATAGAGCTCAGATGGCACCTAACACAGAAGCTCAGCTTATAACATAGAACCTCATCTTATAGAGCTCAGATGACATCTAACACAAAAGCCCAGCTTATAACACAGAAGTTCAGCTTAGAGAGCTCAGGTAACACCTAACACAGAAGATCGGCTTATAGAGCTCAGATAACACCTAACACAGAAGCTAAGCTTACAGAGCTTAGGTAACACCTAACACAGAAGCTTAGCTTATAGAGCTCAGGTAAGGTCTTACACAGAAGCTCATTCTATAGAGCTCATGTAAATCCTAACACAGAAGATCAGCTTATAGACAGTTAGAGTGGTGAAGCTTAAGTAAGATATTACACAGAAGCTCAGCTTACAGGGTGCAGATAACACATAATACAGAAGATCAGCTTATAGACAGTTAGAATGGTGAAGCTTAAGTAAGATCTTACACAGAAGCTCAGCTTACAGGGTGCAGGTAAAACGTAATACAGAAGACCAGCTTATAGACAGAGTGGTGAAGCTTAAGTAAGATCTTACACAGAAGCTCAGCTTATAGAGCTCAGGTAACACCTAACCTAGAAGCTCAGCTTATAGAGCTCAGGTAACACCTAACACAGAAGCTCAGCTTATAGAGCTCAGGTAAGACAAAACACAGAAGCTCAGCTTATAGAGCTCAGGTAACACCTAACACAGAAGCTCAGCTTATAGAGCTCAGGTAAGACAAAACACAGAAGCTCAGCTTATAGAGCTCAGGTAACACATAACACAGAAGCTCAGCTTATAGAGCTCAGGTAACACCTGACACAGAAGCTCAGCTTATAGAGTTCAGGTAAGACATAATACAGAAGCTCAGCTTATAGAGCTCAGGTAACACCTAACACAGAAGCTCAGCTTATAGAGTTCAGGTAACACCTAACACAGAAGCTCAGCTTATAGAGCTCAGGTAAGACAAAACACAGAAGCTCAGCTTATAGAGCTCAGGTAACACCTAACGCAGGAGCTCAGCTTATAGAGCTCAGGTAACACCTGACACAGAAGCTCAGCTTATAGAGCTCAGGTAACACCTAACACAGAAGCTCAGCTAATAGAGCTCAGGTAACATCTAACACAGAAGCTCAGCTTATAGAGCGCAGGTAACACCTAACACAGAAGCTCAGCTCATAGACAGCTAGAGTGGTGGAGCTGAGGTAAGATTTAATGAATACATGTAATCTAAGGTAAGATCTAACATAGCTTTTACACAGAGTTGAGGAAATTTAGCTGAGATCTAAAAGAGAGATTTAGTTTATAGACAGGGTTTAAGAAGCTCTTGTAAGATAAAGGTAGTTTGCTTTACATCAAACTTTTTTTTAAAATTACATGACTGAGGAAATATTGTTTGTGACATTTGAGGAATTATTTTTTTCAAGCATTGGACATTTGTGTATTTAATATATTGTCTGATTCATTTTTTTATTTGGCAGATATCAGGTGACATTCCTATTACTGTAGGAGAAAAAGATCAAGTTTTCTTTACGGTCTCTAGACATGGAATACAAGTCCAAAATAAAAGGACCCAAGTAAGCAACTTGTCTTATTCCTATAATATTATATCATACTCTCTCTATATACACCTACCACAGGACTGCTCTCTAAAGATTAAATAAGTTTGCTGTAAAATTGCATCAACAAGACTTTAAAGTATGATGTTGAAATGGAAATTTTCAATTTGTTTTTTTTTTTTTTTATTTGAATATATTTTGATGTAACAAGGCTGTAAAGATTATCATCTATGCCTTGACTGTCTGTGTTATATATTGTAGGAGGTTCTACAGCGACACCCCCTCCACACAATAGCTGAGGTTGTACAGTATGAGTGTAGCTTGTCTGTCTGTCTACATGTATCTGTGTTTTGTATTGTAGGAGGTTGTACAGCGACACCCCCTCCACACAATAGCTGAGGTTGTCCAGTATGAGGATGGATTCGGTCGCCCTAACATTGCTCTAAAGATAGGACAGCTGCAGGTCAACAAAGAGGTGTTTCAGTGCTTTGTCTTCCAATGTCATAGTGAGGTATGTATGCAAAAAAATATTTGAATTTAACTTTCTTAGGCACTGTTGCATTATATCAAACACTGATGCATTGTTCAATGTTATTCACATATACTGTATTCAAATAAGAGTATACATTTTGACTTCAGTGAAAATTCGAGCATGTTAATATGACAAATTAATTCTATATTAATTTTACTTGTTTGTAGGAATTAGCCAATGATGTTTGCCAGTTGGTTCGCAGAATTTTTGATGCCATAACAGACAAGTCTTGAATCTGATGTCAATTCAAATGAAAAAGTATGAGCCATAATACTCAATACCATTCAATACTGTCCTCCACCCAAGGAGTGTGAAGTCCTAAGTAAGTTGGTCAACATGGACCATCTGTAGCCAGTCAGTGTGGTGGACAAGTAATGGAGACTACGGTTGTATGACAGTCGGCCATGTCATAGTGCTTGCAGAATTCTGCATAAACTAAAGGACATGGAGATCTCCCTCCTAGTCTTGGAATTTTTATTGGAAACATTTTAATTTAAAACTTTGCTTTCAGCTAGTAAATAAAGCTATTGTAAAAATATCTTTGCATTATGTATAAGAGGCCATAAAAAAAAAAAATATTGAAAAGATTTCCTTAGAAGTAAATTCATCTCTCCAATTCTTGCATTCATGATTCAGTTGATTTACTGTAGAAGTACTTTTTTCTGCCTGGTATTAATTTACACTATGTTCGCGGTCACAAATTTTCCCTGGAAATTAGACCTATTGAACTTAATACAAGTACATATGTATAAGGCAAATAAGGAGAGTCTTAAGATATTCGCATCATTTCCTACCAGCGGATTTAACAGAAATAGAGATTCCGCTGAATTATGACCCCGTGGAAAAAAGTATGTCTACAATATCTTTTTATACGCCCGTCTTAAGACGGGACGTATTATGTTATAGGCTTCGTGTCCGTTGTCACACATTTTTCCCTTTCCGGCTCATAACTTTAATACTAATTAGGCCTAGAATTATCAAACTTTGTCATCTGATGCATCTTGGGTAGAAGGTGTGTCGCGCACAAAAAGTAGGTCACTTTGACCTTTAATTAAGAAGATATAGCCAAATTTGGAAAAATCCTTTCCGGCCCATAACTAGAAAACTATAAGACTTACAATCATCAAACTTGGCCAGTTTATGCATCTTAGGTAGAAGGTGTGTCGCGAGCTATTTCAAGGTCACTGTGACCTTTGATTTAAATGAAATTTTAAAACAAGAGGCCCATGGGCCACATCGCTCACCTGAGAAGCGTTGACCATTCTGTTCTCTACCAGATTTCCCCCTTGTTATACATAATGCATCCCCACCCTACCCCACTGATCATAATTTAGACATTTTGAAATCTACACTACCCCATGATCCTTCCATGGGCACACATGTTTCAGCTTTTTTGGCCCATTGGTTCCTGAGAAGAAGATTTTCAAAGATTTTTCCTTTATATTTCTATCTAAAACTTTGATTCCCCATTGTGGCCCCGCCCTTCCCCCGGGGGTCATGATTTGAACAATTTAGAATCTACACTATACCAGGATGCTTCCACATAAGTTTCAGCTTTTCTGGCCCAGTGGTTCTTGAGAAGAAGATTTTCAAAGATTTTTCTTATATATTTCTATGTATAACTTTGATTCTCCGTTGTGGCCCCGCCCTTCCCCCGGGGGTCATGATTTGAACAATTTAGAATCTACATTATACCAGGATGCTTCCACATAAGTTTCAGCTTTTCTGGCCCAGTGGTTCTTGAGAAGAAGATTTTCAAAGAATTTTCCTATATATTTCTATGTAAAACTTTGATTCCCCATTGTGGCCTCGCCCTTCCCCCAGGGGTCATGATGTGAACAATTTAGAATCTACACTACACCAGGATGCTTCCACATAAGTTTCAGCTTTTCTGGCCCAGTGGTTCTTGAGAAGAAGATTTTCAAAGATTTTTCTTATATATTTCTATATAAAACTTTGATTCCCCATTGTGGCCCCGCCCTTCCCCCGGGGGTCATGATTTGAACAATTTAGAATCTACACTACCCCAAGATGCTTCCACGTAAGATTCAGCTTTACTGGCCCAGTGGTTCTTGAGAAGAAGATTTTTTAATGACCCAACCCTATTTTTCTCTATATAATTATCTCCCCTTGCGAGGGGATATGTCCCTTCATTTTAACAATTTAAATTCCCCTTCACCCAAGGATGCTTTGTACCAAGTTTGGTCAAAATTGGCCCAGTGGTTCTTGAGAAGAAGTCGAAAATGTGAAAAGTTTACAGACGGACAGACGGACGGACAGACAGACGGACGGACGACGGACAAAATGTGATCAGAAAAGCTCACTTGAGCCTTCGGCTCAGGTGAGCTAAAAAGATGTGTCTTTTTACTATTCATTTACATATCCCAAATAATGTAAGAGTATTGCACTGTCCTTATTAAAAAAGTGCTAATTCAAGAAAATACTTATTATTTTAAAGCATATACTTGACAGCAATCTATAACAAATATTATGTATGTTAGAAATCCTACCTCTCCCATGAGTGTAATTATCAAACACTGGTCAAGACTCAAGAAGAATTTTGATAACAGAAAATTGCATGTCAAATTAGAGAGAAATTAATGAGTTTTGAGTGTGAGGAGTTCGCTGATAGCTAGAGCATGGTGTTATCTATATCCCTTGAGTATTGAGCAAATGGGTGAGCCTGTTGGATTAAAAATAGCTCTTTCTGGCTAGCCTAAGTTTTAAAATGAATTTGATGAAAAGTAATTAAAACTAATTTGATATTGCATTGTAGACTAATCTTATATTATATAAAATTGTTAATCTATAAAAACTAATTTTATGGGATAGGGTGGAATCACCATACCCATATGAATTTTATATTAAAACCTGTCAGACATTAAATCTCAACCAAAAAAAATCTTTGAGTATTTTATATGTTTTAAAAAAAATTATGGTAGATAGTGCAGACCCATTCATCTGTTGGTATTAATGAGTAGACAAGCACCCAGTTAAAGATTAATTAATGAGTTCAGGCTAGCTGTCTCAATCACTCTGATCAAGCTGTATGATGACCTTTGGGAATTAGACAGAAAAACTGTTGGTTAGTTTATAGCATATGTCATTTGATGGCCAGCCTTTTCTTTTCAAAATTAATTTGGTATAGATTAAGTTGTTAAGACTAATTTGATATTGTTTAATATGATGGGCATTTGACAAGGTCTAACACAACCAGCATAGAAATCCATCAATGATGTAATATTTATTATAATTAATACCTACATCACAGGGGATGGATAAATATTTTTAGGAATGGAAAAATCATGGAAATCTTAGAATCAGGGTTGACAAGATTGCAAGCTAAACTGTTAAAGAAAATTGTAATTTTTTGATGGGCGTATCATGCTGTGGCACGGCACTTTATTATTGTAAGGAGGGGGAACAGTCAAGTAATGGTTACTAAAACCAGCAGTGGTCAACTTCTAATTTGTATATATATTTCACCTCAATTTTGCAAATACACTCTGTACATTGAAGTAAAAAAAAATTTAGGATGGGACCACAATGGAGGATTGTTTTACATTTAAGAAAACAAGAATAATACATAGTAGCTTTCGAGAAAATTTTATTTTAATCTTACCTTAAATATGAATAAAATTGCATGGCACATTGTAACTTCAGCATATTCTGCATAATCAGTACAAATAAGTGCATATGAATCATTATGTATGAGAATCTCCCGACCAAAACCTACATTTCATTGCCCCCCTTTTAAAGTGCATCAGATGCTGCATGTATTTAGAGGTAAAAATACAGTTCAACACAAAAAAAGATATGCCCATCAGGAATTTTAACATAAATATATATAATGTAATACTTCTTGATTTTTCCCTAACCCTTGTACATGTACATTAAATGAGAAGGTTAATATTTGAACATCCAGTGCAATGGAGCCTTTTATAGATTTGTAATGCATTGACTATTTCACTCTTAAGAAGATGACAAAGTCCTAAAAAGTTAATGACCTATCATTTCACAACATATCCATAAACAAGCAAATCAAGTTATATCGTAAATCTGGAAAATTTTGCTGTAGATAAATTTTTAGCAAATTTGCGAGTTCATTGCATTCGCAAAAATATTTTTCTTAAAAATAATTCAACAATAAGAAAATGTAAACAAAGTAGTGGTCATTCGCAAAATTTTGAAACATAAAAATTAATCAACAGCATTTTGACCCAGATTCGCAAAATAAAATTGACATAAAAATTTCCAGATTTACGGTATATTTATTTTGTGAAAATACGTTTCAGTTTCTGCATTATTATCAAATAAAGAAACAAGGGTATTGTAAATCTGCTGTCTTTGATAGTGTTGTGGGCAGCAATTTGACTAGATAGAGTTCATAACCATATCATAGATTAGATAAATGAAATCCTCTATGATCATTTTGTATTGATACGTGCTAACATCATAACAGGGATGGATTGGTGGATAATGTTGATTTTGAGTCATTGATGGAAAAAAGCATATTCATGTACATGTACTCTATATATTAAGTCATATCAGTAAACAACTATACAAGAACACAAAACAAAAAACATGATTTCTGCATATTTTAAAGCACACAACCTTAGCACTTTATCACATAATCATCTTAAAATAATAAAACTTGTGAAATAACACGAATCACAATAAGCAAATTATTAAGCATTTCAAGATTTTATCTCAAAGTGATGCATGAAAGCCACAATCCCCCCCCCATTTCTTCCTAGTTCTGTTTGAGAAATTAATTACTACATTATCCTAACTATTTAAAGGATAAAAAAATATAAATTTACAAAAGAATGGTGGAGTGATGGAGGTATATTTCCAAAACACATTGAAAACACAGAAAAATATTGTAGACACTTCTTAATATAAACATCCTCTGATGCCAGCACCAGGTTAAAATTACATGTAATATATACAAGGTAAAACAAACGTGTAGAATGGGGTTTCTTTATCTGGTTACAAGAGGTCGTTTTTGTCACACAATCCTCTGTTATGTTGGGTAAGACAGGTATGCCGGGACATCACCAATATTGCTGTCAATCTGAGCTAGCTGAGAGGAGATGCCCTCCAGTACACTGTCTATATCACTCTGGTCGTTAGTGGTCATGTCGCTCACAGAACGTCTGAAAAGATGAACAAGATATAATAGTGATTGAAAGAACATGTACATCTTTTTCATACAACAATGTGTATACTGTGAAACATGTTTAATCTGGAGACCCCTGGTTCCAAAAGAAATTGGTGAGCTTTATAGTCAACATTCAGAACAGCTGACTTTAGTGATTTATATTGTACTAGGCAAGGTCTCGGAATAAACAAAATGTGGATTGGACAAGTTTCACTGTATGTACATGATACCTTGTAAATTATATCAGTAGAATTAGACTCTTTAATATGGTACATTCAATATAAAGAGCATTGACTAAGCTCTCTTCTGAAACAAAATATATAAAACATTTTAAATTAAATTGTACAAGATACATGTACATGAGAAGATAAATATGCAATGATCTTCAAATGTCTGAGATTTTTTTTTCACATGTTCTTTTTTCAATTCATCTTTAAGTTCTACATCAATAGCATACATCTTTATTTCAGCTCAATTCAAGATATCCAAGGTAGATTACACAATACTTATCTGATGACACTACTGATTGTATTTTATGAAAAAAATTATACTAGTATTTACCTTTGATACATAACAATTCTTACAAAAGATACTGATATGACAATCAAAATGTCTTAGTCAATGTACTCCAGCATAGTGAACTATTACATGTACTGCCAGTCACCATTGCTAATGCTTTTCTCACATTCTGAAAGCAGTGCTGTGCATTTTCTTTCCCACTGCTCTGCTCTGTTTGCTTATATAGTTTCAATCCAGCAAGCTCACAAGTATTAAGTTAAAACACATTGACAAATGACATCACTGGCCCTCAAGTGCTTTGCCCCTCCACATAAAGACAAGGACATTCTGACACATGTCTGTATTTCATTCATATTCTGTAAAAGCATTGACCACTGTCTTCTATATTTCTGAGAATAAGTAAAATTTCGATTGATGTGTTTAAACATACATGTGTATTCCCTAATTATTTTTTCTGTTCCGTTCAGAGATGTCAATTTTTGGAAAACAATGATCAAATTCCTAGCAAGAATTTTCAATTTATCTTTTATTCAAATACATGCAGGTAATGTAAAATATACCAGTATCTAATTTGGTTTTTGTATTAAGTTTAAAGCCAAAAAATTGGGAAAAGATGAGAATAGAATAGACCAATAAATTGCTGCAATGGTAAATCTCTTAAACATATTAAGTAAATCTCTTTTATTATTGTGATAAACAGTGACATAAAAAGGTTATTTCAATAAGCTCCCATGGACAGAGACACTGCGTATAAGCTCATCTGCTCTTGAGATATTATTAGCGTTTACCATAACAGAAGAGGCCGAAGCTAAAAACTCCAATTCACTATCCAAATCATCATCGATAATAGTGGAACTATCATCATCAATAATAGTCGAAGTGTCACTGATGGAAGGACTAAAATTAGATTGGAGGACATGTTGGATTCATAACTGTTAGCAGCTTTAGGCCAAGATTTAATGAATAGAAAGTTGATTGGGTTTTAGGAGAAAACCTAAGCTGGACCTTGATGCCACACACAGAGATTCAGAGAATCCCTAAGGTAATAAAATAATGTACTGGTAATTGGACTCAGGCTTTCAATAAACTATGCTCATTCAAAATTTAATCAAAATTCTTAACTGTACTCTGCAATAAACATGTCACAAATGATATATTTTGGAGGTCAAAAACATAATATATGTACATCAGTAACTTAACCATATAGAAATAATGAGTGCAGAATAAATAAAACTAAGATATGATGTTGAAAAATTTATATATATTATTATCTTATAAAATGGCACATATTTTATAACCTAGGAATTCTAACAATAAGTATTCTTCTTTTCTTAACTTACGTGTAAATACGGGGTAGACTATGGCGACTCGATAATGTTCCATTGTCAGGAATTACAATGCCTTGCTTCTTCAGAAAATCCAGGAATTTGTCATAATGCTTCTCATATATGAAAGGGCACAAACCTGCAATTACAAATGTCCTCCTCTAAACATGGTAAGCATTGAATCAATTATATAGAAGATAAATATTAAATCGATTAATGTACTTGAAAAACATAAAAATTACCATTTTATATTTAGGTATTTTGTTGCATGTATATACTTATTTATATTTATAGTAAAGGTTGACCATATGTATCAGAACTATAAATACATGTATTTAATTTCTAAATGCCTTTTAAAGCAAGTCTCATCTGCCATAATATCCCCCTACATAATCAGATTTAGTTGAACTTTGGTATCACAAACACCGATATGTCAAATACCATTATTTGATTGGTATTCTGTAAGTATTTTACCCTCAATACCTTGAATCCTCAGATATCTTGAAGTTTTTTCTCTGTCCCTTCAAGTTGGAGATAACGAAGTTTGACGGTATATAAATTTATTCAAATATTTTACCAGTTAGGAGATTCTTCCTCTCTTTGCCATACAGCTGATAAACCTCCTGAAACACTGCCTGGAGCTCACTGGATTTTTTGGGGGAGGGGTCATTGATCTTTTTCAGGAGGGTGGAGAATTTTGCCAGCTCATCCACAGTAAATTTACTTCTCAACTGAAATAAAACAAAAGACTCCTCAAAATCTACACAGCATTACAACATGTTTAACAATATACACACATTTTTTAAAACAAATAATTTAAAAAAAATCATACATGTAATTACAATTTTGATTTAATAAATTAATTAAAAAATAAAAACCTGCACAGAGTACGTATGTAATACATGTACATATATCTCAAATTGAAAAAGTCACTGTTTATTTTTTTTATACACTTTCTCCAACTTGAACAAGCTCTCTTGTGTGGAAAGAAATATGTAATGTCCCTCGTACCTGCTCCAGGTATGATCTCAGAAGCTCTGTTTGAACACTATGACCACTGTGCATGCTGTGTACCGACCCACTGTCTCTATGTCTCTGCTCTGCAAGGTTCGGATGTGACTGAGAAATACTGAAAATACAAATTTAATTGTTTTCAAAAATGTTTTGATAGATTTTTTCCTTTTCTTTATTAGATAAAGCAATGTTTATGAGGAAAATAAAGCAAATAAAAGCAGAAACAAAAATTTGAACACATTAGAATTAGTATTAGAATCCACCAACATCAAAGTTAATTGATATATTAGCTTCAAAGACAAACAATTTCTTGATTAGCTGCACTTAAACAAATTTAAAAAGGTTTAATATAACTCGACAATCATTTGCAACTATCCCTAAGTATTTCAGTGCTAGAGCTGTGTACCCCATAAGAGAGACTGACAAACTTTGTCCTAATGAGGGAGCACAATACAAACATGAGTGCAGGTAGAGATACTATAAATACATTCTAAACCATTTGTTGTTTAAATATTTGAAATAAAATCTACAATATGATATGAGAAGGAAAATAAATAAAACCAGAATATGATTTAGAAGAAGCAAGAGTGTGTTTTTCTATATATGTTTTGATATTACAAAACTTAAATATATACCCTATATGTGTATAGATATTCAAAACATTTTTACCCCACAAGTGTACAAAAAAGAAAAATAAATTTGACAGGAAGTAGAATTTGACATTTTGCTTTACATTAAGTGTACTAAATGACTACATCTGAGAAACAGGTACATGTATTCTAAAATATATAGTTATCTCATTGAGACTTAAATAACCAGCTACCATTGCTGTATAAAGACAGAAGGTGAGAATTAAAACCAACACAGATTCTTACCCCGGGTTGTCCTGGCTCTCCCTGTAAGCATGCAATTCATTGTCATGTCACATAGATCATAAAAAGGTTGTTAATGAAACCATGTTTTAAACAAAAAAAAAAGTATTGTCTAGCAAACATCATATATAGCACTTTAAACATATGGTTTCTTCAGAGAAAGATGTTAAGAATTTAAGGTTTTACAAAAAGAAATGGACAGAACAAATCTACAGCAAACTTTTCTTTCACAAAACATGAAATGGATTTCTGACCTTTGAATATAAAGAACAAAGCAACTAATGTACCGGTACATGACAAGAGCAACACACTCTCACTGTAAGCAACCATGAAATCCTGAGTGATACTTACAATGAATATTTCCGACTATTGTCATTTATGGTGGGCGATCCTGTGGATGAATTTTCTACTTTAAAGATGGCATCTTCCAGAAGTTTGACAACTGCATCTGTATAAATAAGCTGGAAGCACTGGGCCACATCTGAACACACACGCTCTGCTCGAGCTGGGTTGTCACAGTACAGCACTAACAGTGAACATCTCTCGGGGTTTCCTGTCAAAAGGTACAGACTTTATAATTAAGGCTTGTGACTTCTAAAGAACACAACAAATATCAATGATTAGTAGAATTTTCTTTTTTACCATATTTGATAGCTAAAATGTGTACGCCATCATCATTCACATAACAGACTGCTGCTATTTCATGGATGGGAATTCGAATAATCAGATTCTGTAAAGCATGAACAAAAATCTCACTGAATAATACAAGTCAATGAGAAGTACAAAATAATTTCAAATTTTTATCCATATGTGATAAACTATTGCAAAAAAAAAAAAAAAAAGAGAATTAGGATTAGCAAAAAAGATAACAATGCTAACCTCTGTGCCATGGTCTCTGTACATTAATTTGATGTTGTACCGACATAAACTGAGGACAGCATTTCTATCTGCAGACACCAACAAAGGAATCATCTTGTCCATCTACATGCAGCAATTTATTTTGTAAAACAAAGGTCATTGTAAAATTCATTTTTTCTCTTCATTATTCTGTAGTATGTCTTTATTATCAATTACTTTGATGTGTGTGTCTTTTTTGGTTCTCTATGGTTTTATGATTAGGATCATTTAGTTTGCTTAAGGTATTATTTATGTACAACCCCTGTAGGAGTTTATGAAAATTATGACATAAGCAAACATTGATTAAAAAAACCAAAACTAAACATTTTCATAAAGAAATGCTTATTTAAAGTTTGGGATAAGCTAGTGTAAATGTGACAATGGCGATCCAAGTCAGTGTCAATGTGACATTTCAAAATTCTGTTTTTATGGGATCTACATGGATTTCCTGTTAAATTTCTTCAAAATGCCAGCAAACAAAATTAGTATATTTAAATTCACAATGTTACTAAATAAACAGTGGCAAATTAATTTCTTCTTACTTTTTGCCTGTGAAAATAAAAATAATCAAAAATCAGATTTTGGAAATATCATCCTCACTGATACAAACACTAACCTGAACTTGATATTCAGTATGGTCACTGTCTTTGGGGTAGTCAGAATGTGGATTATACCCTGTTGAATTTCTGGACTCGTTTCCAACCTCATAATGGGATTGCTGCAGAAAAGAAGCAACAAAAATTAAAACCATCCCTTAGAAAAAAATACATGAACAAAGCATTAAATTTATACAGTCAATTCTCGAATTATCGCCATTCTATTTATCGCCATTTTCGCAATACATGTACCACCATGATTTCCCAAGAACGTTTTTCCTGCTATATAAAATTCTCTTTATAACGCCAAATTCGCATATCGCCATCTGCCACACTGTTTTCAAAACAAACGTTCATTTTTTTTAAGTGTCAATTATCTCGATATACCGCCACAGGTGCATGTGGTCAGTGAAGCGCATCTAATTGGTTGACGCTATCCATGTTGTAGCATGCAAAGCCGACAAGGTATATGCAATTAAAGAAGAATTAAATAAACAATAATTTAACATGGAGTGTAATAATAATTTTGTTTTCTGTTTTATAAAAATCATTTAGTAACGGCTTTGCCACGTTAAAGCAGTCGTTATTAAATTATGTGTCCGTGAAAAAAAAAATTAATCAAAAATCAGATTTTGGAAATATAATCATCACTGATTTAAACAATGCAAAGGTTTCTTAAAAAATAATTACACGGTATAAATTCTGAACTTTTCATTAACAATAATGCCATAAAGAATTAATTTATTCGAGAATTCATTTAACGTACCATCGGCTATATATTACGATCCATGGAATCCAAATGTTTTTTTTCAATTGGAATCCACCATTCAGACGTGGAAAACGATTTACATGCATACACATGTATTTGTCAAAGCTTTATTATAACTGCACATTTTGTTAATTTAGCGAAATTGTACAAAACCAAAAAACACTTTCAATATATTTTCAAATTTATAAATATATTTTTAACAATATGTACATGTGATGTATATATGTACATGTGATAAATAATTGAAATATGAAACGCTAAATGGTAAAAGAGAGGTTACTCTACTTCCTAAAAGATGGGAAATTCAATTCATCGCCAAATTCATAAGATAATCAATTATAGTACTATAAAACATAAACTTAACGATTTTGAATGCAACACGGTACACTCATAGTTTTAATTTGCTTGTAAGGTCAAATGAAATCAAATGAAGTTGTAATTAATTCATTCTTTCTGTATATAGTGTGGTTCTTATTTTACCTAATAGCTTTATTTGCCGCATATATTAAAAGCATGAACTAACTATTTTAAAGAAAATTTAATGTTTTATGAAAAAGAAACAAAACAAAAAGTTGCATGAAAATTATGTCGTAAAACGCTGTGTCATATTTTTATATATATAGCGCAAGGTTATGATAAAAACCTTTTGTGTGATTATTTTGCTTTTTTCGCCGATTATTCTTATGGTTTACTATGATAAAAGCGTAATATATATAAATACAATTTGTGAAGAAGTAAGAAAAAAAAGGCTTGAAAATCGGGGGGGGGGGTCTCTTCTGACAAAGGTTTGGGCATAATTTTTTTGTTTTGAGAGGCTTTGTTGCATAACCTCTTTCTTCATCCGAAAGACAGATGTTTAAAACTGTACATTTCTGAACGGAAAAGAAACAAGGGCTATTTAAACTGTCAGTCATGTATTTTCAGCATTTATATACCCACGTAAATACTTCACAACTTAAATTTGTTTTGTTTTCCTTTTAAGGACCAACTTTCCACAGGCATCAGCCGTGAGAACCCTATTATGATCTTCTAAGTTCTCCAGGACGAGAAAGAAAAGGAACCATTTCCATCTGGTTTAGAACATATGGATGACTCTGTTTGGGATGTCGGAAACGAGAATCTGACCCATGCGGTCGATACAATCCCTTCCCGGAGAAAAAAGATTAATTTATCTCTTCAACATTTTGGGTTTTTTAGGGGGTAGAAGTTTTGAGGTTTTCCGTTTTTGTTCAGTATTAAATATGAAGCTTGAGGACCAATGTTCTGAATCCATTTGGTCAAACAACGGTTTGGATTCGTTAAACTCGACGTTCATGCAATCCCTCAATTTTTTGTCATATTTGAAAAGTTTCTACTAGTCCTGTTTCTGAACACATACAGGAATATTCTCTTTCATAACTGCTATCTCAGTCGGGACCCAAATGTAAGGAATATGTGTATGGTCATGTTGTAAAGAACTATATGCGGTATATTGCATATATTTGCCCTCACAAATTAAGTCAAGTTTTGAAAACTTCCTGAAATGTGCTGAATTCAATAAATTGTATGAGAAATATAAATTAACAGAAAATATTATAGTGTCAAAGCAGTATATTCACAATTTTTGTTTTTATGACGTCATAAACTAGTCCAATTTTATATCCTTTTTCAGAAAGAGGACAAAATGGACAAAATTTCAACAATTTTAGCTTTAAAATTTATAACTTTGTTCAGGTATTGACATATTTCATTGATATTATCAACATTATATCAATATTGATCCTGAACACACATGCGCTCGGTGACTTTTACTCCAAATATCGTTAATTTTTCGGTAAAATTCAAAAAAACTAAATTTACGTCATGTTTGTGACCATTAGTACATATGGCGTCATTACTTATGAAAATATCCTGTGCTATATATTTTAAATAACTTAATTAAATATATTGTTTATTACCGAATAAAGTTCTTTTGAATTTACCGAGTGGCAGTAAATGATATTAACACGTCTTTAAGATAACTTTGGTATTTCCCTCCCTAATATAAACAGTTAAACTGTTAAATACATGGAGGATATTCAATGTTTTGTAAAAGTTGAATATGGAATTTATTTCACGATAAGGATTTTTGATATTTTCACGAGTGCGAAGCACGAGTGAAAACATCAAAAATCCGTGAGTCTATATGATAATAAGATAATCACATATAGTATAAAACCATAAACTTTCTGATTTTTTTAAAATAAAATTTTTTGATTTTTCCGTTGACTCATAGTCTTAATTTGTTATACAGTCACATGAAATCATATGAAGTTAGCTATATTAAAACACTGTAAACATGGATTTAGCAACATATTTTTGTAATTTTAACCATTTTATTCGCCGTCAAAGTGGTTTATTTATTTTTGTCTATCTTATATTATCAATTCTTTTTTACAGCAATCTTCGTTATGGAAAGGGAAAAAGCACTTCTGATATTAATCACACTGTGACAGATATCATTTGTATCCTTTCAAGAAAATATAATAAATAAATTACAGTATTTCACGGGTAAAAATGTAATAAATTATTTCATTCATTTTATCGTTTTAATTATCATCCAGGTTGCATTTATTTTTTAACCACCAAGAGAAAGAATATCCTTCGCCTGATATATTTTTATAATAATATCGCGGTGTGATTTCTGATAAAACAATTTTAGTGACATGTTTAAGCTGACTTTGAAATATACTTTTAATTTACTGTAATTACTTTAAACATCATGAAAATTTTAATTATTCTAATTACTATGATAAAAGTGGAATATATAAATCAATTTGTGAACATGTATGAAAAAAAGGCTTGAAACTCATGCTCAGAATTGTGCTAATTGCCATTGTTATATTTTAATATTTATATGTTACATGAATTATTGTTAATCAGTTAACTCTTAGGCTTCGGATTGTTCGGGTGCAATTTTTGGATTTCCAGAATTCACCCTCCGACCTACGTTTATAATAAAGTGCTATTCCATCGTTAGCATTTTTATGTTTCATTGTTGCCGGAAAGTTTGTCACTTATTTTCCCCGGTGATAATTTGGTGGAGATATCCTAAATTTGTTTTGCATATATTTTGTAGCAGTTTGATCCTATGTACCATCAACTAAGCGAGTTCCCCCAAGACGACCCATCTTCAACAACACCATGCCAACCTGGAGAAAAGGACTTTACCGCTCCGCCCTAACATCTAACCAGCGCCATTGTCTTTCGCGTCCCCGGATTACACCAGGACCAGCACGAATTTTCTCGACACCAGGATCCATTCCACGGTGCTATAGGTGCGGGAAACCCTTCTTCCACTGCCACTTTTTTACGTGTCCAGCTACACGTTTCGAGTGTTTCGTGCGCGGAAAACATGGTCAATATGAGCAAGTATGTTTCTTTTCTGCAACCACACCTTACCGTTCCTCCCAAAGGAAATCATTTCCAGTGGCGTCCATCGATCACTCAACGATCAAAAAGGATCAAGCCAAGGGGTCAGGACAAGCCTGCTTGAAGACAAACCTGGGAAACCCGTCTGTAGGCTCGTCTGACAACAAGTCAGCAACATACGATTCTGCTGCAGGTGTGTGTTTTTCTCGACTGCTACCAAATCTAGTCCCATGAGTGTTGCTGTTGCGGAGACGCAAAGAAAGAGCATACTTTGTCCGCAGACTAAGTCCGTAAGCAAACGGCGCAGGAATTCGAGAAGAATAAAGGATTAATATTACGATAAAATAGCAGA